TTTTTTGATTTGTAAGATTATAAAATCGAATGTAGACGTAACTAAATAAACAAACGGGGAAACAAACTCAGATTTATTTCGTAATCGTATAAAAGCTCTTCAGTTTTATCGATTATGTGAGAAGTTTGCACGCAACATTGCGCAAGAAAATCTAACACGTACGCACAAAATTCTATTTGTTCGGGGCGACGTTTCCAGGCGTTAGTTTTCTACATTTATTCAACAAAGCAAAACTTATGGTCATTTGTATGCCCCGCGGATGTTTAGTACCGACTTATTCCACGAGGAGAAGTCATGTGACCGGAAATTACTTGGCCGGACCACGGCTTCCGAAAGTCGTTAGTGACTCGAACCTGAATAGTGGACAACATGTTGCAGTAAGGAAGATGCTGGAACTAAACTTTCAACCGAAACTTTCTTAAATATAATATTTCTAACCTCTTCCCACCTTTTCATCGACCACATTTTGAAATTTGCATGTAGAAAGATTTAAAATTTATGTTATCATTTCGAAATTAAATATTTGCTACCGTACAAAATACATTTATAATTTAATTATAATTGTAACGTCAACAATACGAGGAAAATCATTTAAAAGTGGAATTAATTCGGGACTGAAAATGTACAGATTTTCAAATTAACTAAGCAAGAATTTCTTAAAATAATATTATAATAATAATTTCAACGAACGAAATGAAAGGAAAGGAAAGCAAGAATAGATTTTCAATGTTTTGTTTGCATTTTGAATATAGTAAATTGAAAGGATTTAGCAAATCGAGATACTTGATCATCTTATTGACGAGAACAAATTTCCAACATTGCTTATGTCAATAATGCTTCGTTGATCAATAAGTAAACACATATGATTTGCGGTGGTTAAGTCTCACGGATGATCGAAAGATTATAAAGATAAATACCCTTTGATGAAGTAAAAGATTTCATTAAAATTAATCTAAATTTATCATCCATTAAAAAAGAAAAGACTATACACTAAATATTTAAATGGAAATCTTAACTATTATAAATTATTCAAGTAATACACTAACGTGTATTGTCTAACAGAGTTTTGCTATTGAGATAATAGTTTAGATAAGCAAACATTAGGAACTGGATGTGCGTGACGTATACTATGCTACATAAATTGAATATAATCTCTTTCTAATTAACGGGCTATTATATGAGAAAATCAAATAAGATGTGCAATATCCCACTCGCAATATAGTGAAGTTTGTTCGCTCCAATTTATAACCTGTACACACGATTTGTACGAGAAAGAAAAGTGGTTATAAAATTTCAAATTGTAATAGTTTAAAACGACGTATTAATTATTGGCATTTTATAATTACTGGAAGTTGGGAATGAGTTTATGAGTGGAGAAACTCATATTCTAATCATAATACTGTCATTAGCGGCTGAATAATAGATTCAATGTTATGTTTGCGGGTGGATTTACACTAAGACAATTGTTCTAAATACTACATAATAATATTAAACGAATATTTAATAAAGTGTTGAGTTATTGATACTCCTGGTTTTCTAATTATTCCATCAAAAATGAAATAATTTAAAGAGAAATATAAATATTCTTTTAATAAGATTGAAGGCCATATTTTAAAAAAATTTAGTTATCTTTTATTTTGAATATTTAAATAATCTTTGAATTTATTAAGAAAATTGTCCGAAATTAACACAATAACATTTTCGGATGAAAAATTACGCATCAGTTTAGTATAAAAGAATCTTTAAACAGCAGTTTGAGCAGTATCTGTAATGGTGTTCTTGATTATGCCAACCATCAGGCAAATGTATAGCCTTAAGTGATATCACAATACTTTGTAATGACTTCTTTCATTAATCTCCCAACCTTTCTGAAAGCATTTGTGAAGAAAGTCAGATAGAGGCTGATGTGCCTTTATAAACACTGCCCGAAAGCATGCTTCATTGAACAAACTCAATGCGGCAATAACTTAATACAGTGGTTGTTAATATGGGCGAAAGAAGAGATTCCTCAAGTTGGTTAATGAGATGAAATGAAATCTGTACCCAGCGACAACAGAAACTTCGAAATAAAGTCTTGTCAGTGAAGCAAACACAGAAAACTTTAATGTTAGTTGAGTATCAGTAAGAAATTGTCCGCAGCAACAGCTGGTCCTTCAATTGGGAAGCAAAAGTTCCTTAATTCAAGTTTCCTCTGGAGATGATTTCCAAACACAACATCAATCAAGACAGTGGAATGCATTGTAAAAACCGTAATAACTATAACTATATATAATACGAATAGATCATCTGAAGAATGAAGAGGAAAATTTCATGTTATATTTTGCTTCCCTTTTGGGTCCTATTTTTACACAAATTGCTTTAGGTAAAACACAAATATACTTTCATTATTGCTGAATTTATTTTTATTTAACCATTAAATCGTTAATAAAACTGAAGTTTTATTTGAAGTATTTAACGTTTTGGAATTTATGGATGACGTATTTTGTAGTTTTATGTGTTTATAAAAGGTTAAAAATTATCAATATTTTTATACACCTGTGAATTTGTTAGAATTTTATTTTCATTTTTATCAGGTATTCGGGAAATGTATAGAAAAGTTATATCAAAAAATATATTTTTAAAAGTGTAACCTATCTTACTGTTGAGTGTGGGGATGAGTGTGTGTGTGTGTGTGTGTGTGTGTGTGTGTGTGCGCGCGCGCGCGCGCTTTTAAGGCAAGATTAGGAATATACCTTTTGAAATTTTCAGTATTGTATGAAGCTTAGGAAATAAAAGAGAACTCATTGAAAGAAAAAGAATTATGTGATTTCCCTAAATTCTATTTTTATTTTTAGTTATATAAATTTTTATATGAAGTTTTGATTTTACAGATTTAATAAATGTATTTAATCACAACTTTTATAATGATATACTTTATAAAATACGTATAATATATTAGTGAAATAATAAGAAAAGAATAGAAGATATCGTTAAAAAATAGGATGAGATAGTTTATTAAAATAGCTTTTTCATTTAACTTTTATATATTATTCTGTTTATTCAATAGTCTTTCTATAATAGTACACCAAGCATAATCAGTAAGGACATATGACATAGATATGTGTCCTCTTGCACTGGCTTGGTTTCCATGGGAACAGCATCCTCTTTGCTCCATTGGGCATCAACAGACTGGAGTGGAAACAGAGTTCTCCTTCAGATACTAAATCTTTAAAGAATGCTTTCGAAAACAAAAACAAATTGTTGAACTTATCGAAAAAATAAACAGTAAATAAGCGATAACTAAAGTACTTATTTACGTTAGATTGCAATTAAAGTTAAAATTTTGTAATTTTTTATTTAAAACATAACTTTTGCGAAAGATACACGATTCATTTTAATAGTAAANATTAATTATTTTAAAAATTAAAAATTTTTCGAATTTTTATTTTTGTTTTTAAATAGCTACATAAAGTGCGAAGTGAATACAGATGTATTTATATTAACCATAAATTAGCTACTTCGTAATTCGTTTATATGGTGTATATATATATATTTAATTTGTGAGGAAAAAATGAACAAACCATAATCTAGTACTTCAATTTTAGTAAAAAGAGAAACATAACTCTTCAGCATCTCCTGAGATGCTAGGCATCACTTAGTCATAGCAGTTAACGTGTAAAGTAGAAGATACACAGTTGTAGTTGATAGTCCCTCCTTTATTCCCTAGAGAGCTTATACTGTGACAACTGAGATTGATAAGACCCTGGCGTTTCGCCAGATATAGTTCCACCCTTGCAAGATTGCGATCTTTGATAGTAAAGTTTCTACGTCTGTTATCTCTCGACAACATCCGAACAGTAAACATCAGATTTTGATAACTGAAACGACAGTAAGTTAAATTTTTTTAATCAAATATAACATATGCTGTTAAATTTGATTAAAGAATATTATTTATCTTATGTTATATGCATTGTGTTATTCCAGACTCTTGTTGTGCAGTTGATTTGATCAGAGATATCATTATTCACATCAGTGCTTTCTGTAATTTAGTATGGGTATTCTGATATTAAACCTGTCCATCTGCAATGTTTCACTGGATCGGATTTAATAAATAGAAGTCTGTATCAAAATTAACTGAACATAATCTTATTACTAAGAGCATGTTTTATGTTTATTTGGATATTAAATCGTTTTAATTTTGTAATTGTGACAATAAATTGGCATATTATTTATTATTTTAAATAGTATAAATTTTCAAAAATTCTAGATAATTCTAGATATTTCGAACTAATATCAATACATTTACATTTTTAAAGTAAACTTAAGGGTATGGTGTATTTTAGAGTCTGTGTTAGTTCTTTCGTATTTACTTTAAAATGATGCTAAATATTCTTAAACTAGAGCCTGATATAATATTTTAATTAATCTACGCCTAATAAACACGTATTTTTGTATTTAGGGAAGGCTGTTCATATAACGTTATGAGGCATCCATTTTTAGAGTTTCAATCAATCTCTTATGTGTTAAAGCATTAATATCTTTAAATCTTAATTAAGTAATCGAAATGCGTTTATTTTCACGAGAGTAAAGTTCGATTTAAACACTTTCCTTTTAATTATCCCCGAGCGAACAATTTGAATCTTAAAATAATTATCAAAGTATTTTTTAGACTAAGTTCCTAGAATCTTATTTATTATAATTAATGTATATGCTAATGTAATGCATTTTTTAAATTAAAAATCCGAATTTAAAGGAGTTTATAAGAATTTCTGACAAGTATTAAATTTATTTTATTTTTTAAATTTATTTTAAACAAAGATAGATTCTGCACGCAATGCGTGAAAGACGATTTTAAAAATTCGTTATTATTTAACTTTAAAAGAGAAATTAATAATTAATCTTGTTAATTATTAAATACTCTTTAATTCAGAAGTTTAGTTAATAATTTTTTAAAGTAATTTTAATAATTAATTATTTTAAAAACTATCTGTAAAACATTTTTGTAATTATTTTTCTACTAGGATTTTCACAAATTAATACAACGATGTATTCAACAACTCTTCTGCTTTACTATTTCCTGTTTCCTCACCAAGAAGTGTTCTTAGCCTATGGACAAACTTAAAACTACTTGATATTTTTGTGTTACGTAAACACTTAGAGTTAAAAGCAAAATGTATGAAAATTTCATTGAAAAGAATAATTGTTCACTGCCCTGTAACTTCGATTATTCTCTCGAGGGCACCCTGTTACCATTCTGGCAAAACGATAGCTACGACAACATCACTAACATCTCAACGGGGATTCAAGACGCTCAACCCACTGAAGACGACGACTGGATGAATTTTCTTTGGTACACACCTTATCCTAATGGATTTTCGCAGTTGAGAATTATTCTAACTGCCTTCTTTGTCACCGTAATTATGATATTAATAGTTGTGGGTAATATGTTGGTCTGTATTGCCATAGCCACGGAAAGAGCCCTGAAAACAGTGCAGAATTGGTTCATTGCATCGTTAGCTGTGTCCGATTTTCTCGTCGGTTTGGTTATAATGCCTTTCTCATTGGCTCAAGAACTCATGGGATACTGGATATTTGGTACTATTTGGTGCGACATTCACGCCGCTTTGGATGTGTTTTTGTGCACTGCATCTATTAACAGCCTTTGCATGATAAGCTTGGATCGGTATTGGTCAGTCACGCACGCAGTCGAATATTTGAAGAAACGAACTCCTTCGAGAGCCATGGCAATGATTTGTTTTGTTTGGCTCTTGTCTGCGTTAATATCTTTGCCTCCTTTAGTAGGTTGGAAGAAGAAAGACGAACCTTCAGAATTTCCTATTTGTTTACTTAGTAAAGATATCGGCTACGTTCTTTACTCAGCACTCGGCTCATTTTACATTCCAGCTATTGTAATGGTGTTCGTTTATATTAGAATATTCATGGCTGCAAGAACTAGAGCGCGTAGAAACGTTCACAAACCACGGCAAGCTCCAGAATACACTAACGAACAGCCAAAAGATAAGTCCACTACCACAACTAACACAACTTTAAGTAATCCTAGTCCACCGGACAAAAACAAAAATATGGAAATGCATGAGAAATTAAGCAAATCAAACGGTACCACTACTAAAGTGGTGCCATCGGTTATTATAGCTACACCAGCACCCCAAATAATCATCGAAACCGACAGTCCGCGTCATTCGACGGATAATGGAGATCTCAGCAGGACCCACGATAGTTTGTGCGAAGAGACAACGTTCTGCAACGAGAGATCGGGTTCGGATAACGAATCCCCTAAAAAAGGTGATTGTTCCCATCTATACACTCCGGAACAAGAGCAGAAACGTGCTTTGTTAAGTACTCCTAAATTAATGCGTTCTCCTTATGGCTCAACTTTATCTCTGGCTGATTATTGTAAATCGGAAGAGGATATTAGTGAACATTGTGAAATCAATCTGTGCGGTCGTTTTAGGAAAAAATCGAAGCCAAAACCCGAGAAGATTTCACAACAGCCACGCTCTCATTTAACTGCTGAAGCCGAGAGACAAAAGAGAAAACTCGCAAAAGCGAGAGAGAGAAGAGCAACTCTCATATTAGGACTCATAATGGCTTCCTTCATTTTAGCGTGGCTTCCTTTTTTTGTACTTTATGTTGTAGAAGCAATGTGCCAGAGTTGTACCATAGACGAAACTGGATTTGCTGTTGCCTTTTGGCTTGGATATTGTAACTCGGCTCTTAACCCCATCATCTACACCATCTTCAATCGCGATTTTCGCAGAGCATTCAGAAAGATACTCTTCAAGTAATCGAAAGAGTTTTTTAGAAAAAGAAACTCTTCTCCGTGGTTTTGTCGTTTCTCTTTTTCGTAAATGTATTTGTCTTCCATAATGCAAAATTTAAAAGTGCCTGTGATGTTACATACAAATATACATATACAAAACTCACACAAAGTTAACGACTACACTATTAAATTCTGTTTAATAGGTAAGTCAATTTTGGTGCTTGTCAATATAATAAAATGAATAATATTTATTGTTTTGGCTATTTTACAAAAAATAATAATAATAATAAAAGTTATATACATGCATACATGCTGTGAATGTATGCTTGTATACAATATATGTATAGAAGCAAAATATAAAGCAAAAAAATTTGTAAATAATTTTTAATTTTAAAATTGCAAATGTAGCCAATTTGTTATCTAAATAAGCATTCTAAAATGTCAAAATAACGAGTAGATTTAATTATTTTACATTTAATTTTCGTGTCTTATTAGATATTTATTTCGCCAAATTATAAATTTCTTTAATTAGAACTTCAGTCAAAGTAAAATTAAAATTTTTATTTTGTATTCCAATTAAAATGTTTTGCATTAATTAAGATCACACAATTGGTNTAAAAAAAATAATAAAATAAAATTCAATTTATATTAAATGTTTCCCTGAAAGAATTCCCAGTTATTCACTTATCTACAATTTAAATAATATTCTTGTAGAAAAAAAAAAACAACTCGCAACTTCTCTAGATTAATTGTGAGTAAGCCCTACGTATGCAATTATAGGCATTAGTATTTTCTAAAGCCTCCTAATTTTAGAGAATATGAATATAAGTGGCGCAGGTGTTCTAATACAGGCTATAATTAATTAGTTTTTCTTTAAAATTAAAATCAGTGTTGAATGAAATTGCTTTCTTTTCTAATTGCTACACAGTAAATTAAAAAGACACTAAATTAAGTGTTTTTTTCACATTAAAATATTTTTAAACGGTTAAAAATACGGCCACAATTTGAAAAAAAAAAGAATTATTTTTATTAATGTTCATAACTTATTTGCATTTCTTAATATTTTTTAAGATGTCTGTCTGTAACTTTTTAAATTTATGCTATAATTTATGCTTTATATTTATGCATACGAGTGTGTGTGTTTTTTCCTTGTTTATGTGGAGAAAATAGAATTGGGAATTTTAATATTGTCACTCTACTAACTTGTTTCTGGCTAGCGAAGTTAAAAATTGGGGAATATATTTATAGCGTATAATATAGTAAAATTTGGATAAATTTCAAATTCTATTCAAACAAGAATTCTCTTTGCCAAACTTTACTGAATTTCTTTTATTTTCTTATATATTTTTCTTTAATTTAAGTGTGTTAAATAACGACAATTCAGCATTGGAGAAAATTAAATGTCATCTGATACCAACACAATCTACATGATCAATGAGTAGAATGCCAACATGACCATCCTGAATTTCTTTTTTTTATTTTTTACTTTTTATTTATTTTTTTAAATAGAACTTAAAATTGTTTGAAATGTCAAAAATAAGATAAACAAAACTTTTAATTATAGTTATTAATAATTAGCAAGAATTTAAAATGATTTACAGTAAAATCGAATACATTATTCAAGTTTTAAAGTTTACTCGTATTATTCATAAATTTATGTAAATATAACAAAAGAAAATTTAAATGTGATTTAATTAACGATGCAAACGAGAATTTTGTAAATAAAGTCAGGAAAATTTTCCAGATAAATTGGATCTTAAGTACACAATAAAGAAAAATAAAACGAATAGAGAATATTTGTTCTTTTATATTCCAAGCATCGAAGTGAATAAAAATGGACGATATATTTAATTATATTTTGTATCTTTTGGAAAGAAACTGTTAAGGAATCAGATAATTTAACGGCTTAGCTGGAAAAGTTCTCTCTTCCCCTTTTGGAGTTGATGTCGAACGTCATATCCTTGTCGATCTTAATCTTCTTTCCTTCCTTACCGATCTCTCTCTCTTTTTCTTTCTTTCTCTTCTTTCCCCCTTTAACTAATACCTTTATTTTTCTACTTGAAACATATCAATGCAGTAATCATGCAAAATATTTCTGCTTCATGTACTTTCACTCTTACGCTCGCAAAAAAAATAAACAAATAAATATCATCTAAAAGTAGGTCATGCCAGATATCCAAATTACATATTTAATAAAAATTTCTAACTATTTATTTTCTTCCTGATTTTTCTTCTGTTTAGTGGTAAAGGTCATATCTAACTGCTTGCCTTTGCATCTAGAAAAATAAGAATAAATAAAAATTCCACAGAAAACAAATTTAATAGTTAGTTTTAGAAATTCCGTCATTTCAATTTTACTTTACTTTCTTTTAGTTTATAACTAAAATTTTACATTTATCCATTATGAGATTTTATTAAAAGCATAAAGGTACAAAAAAATAAATAAATAAAATTTGCACTTAGGAATTTTCATGATTCCATCTTAATCTCATGATGCCATATTTAAAATCTATAATGCATTTTTTTCTCCCCCGAATTTCAATGCATACTCATGAAAATCAATAAAGGTCGCTTCGGACGATGATAAAATTATTAGAAAATTTTGTTAAAGCTAGCAAAAAGATAAGCTTAAATTCTATATACATATATATTTATTTATTTTATATGATTTTTATTTTATTTAATAGAAATGCCATGAATCATTTTGTAATTAAAATATGCAAGATAGTGCTATCGACCTACTTATTATGCCATTAAATACGTCCTTAAAAATTGAAGATCATTCATTTTTAATATGAAGAAATAGTTTAGTTAATAGTTCGGATAGAAAACGATGCCAGAGAGAGAGAGGAAAATAATATAATTTTTCTTAAATTTTATAAAAATATTAACATATTTATTAATTTAAAATATAGAAAATTATTTTGTTTAATAAATAATCCAAAATCGAAATTAATTTACTTAACAATTTCGTTTAATTTAATATATAAGTTTGAAAATTAAGTTTCAGTTTTGTAATATAACGGAATTAATTATAAGTTTTTAATTTATCAATTTAAAAAAAATAATAAAATAAAATTCAATTTATATTAAATGTTTCCCTGAAAGAATTCCCAGTTATTCACTTATCTACAATTTAAATAATATTCTTGTANTCGGAAATTAGGGGGAAAAGGACAGATGTTTCAAATAAATATTACATAATTTTCGATACGAATTTAAAGTCGGATGAAGAATAAATTCAATAAAAAATCAACACTAAATGCGAGTAAATATAAATTGTAATGTTTTTTTCCTCTTTTCTGTTTTTTTTCCACGTTATTTTTCCTATTCGATGGATTTAATATAGAAATAACCTGCCTTTTCTATGACTATAATATCGTAAAAACGACTGAAGTGAATGAGAATTATGTGCAATGTACGATATGTATTCTGTATACAGCTTTTATATGTCTTTTTTCACTTCATTTTTCCTCGTCCAAACTTTATGATCTACCCGATATGAGTTCACTATATTTTTCTTTATATTATTAATTTTAAATATTTTCAATTTATAATATATTTAAATTTCGTTTTCCTTGTTTTTTCTGGGGGTGGAGTTAGTATTTTTAATTTAATTTCTGTTTGTTACAACGTTACAATTTTCAGAGCAAGTAGACCTGACAAATCAATACATTATCGATTTTTCTTATATGAAAAATTTAATTTGTCTAACTGTATTATTTATCATAAATGACGCTATACAAATAACCACAAATTGATATCATAACTTTCTTATTAATTAATTAAAATGAGCAGAAAGACTTAAAAAAATATATTAAAGTCTAGGGTGATCGATAAACATACGTACTTAGTTAAGATGTAACATGTCATTATTGAAAATTTGCAGGCTGCTTCTGTGTGATTCTTAGTTACACGTAGAAAGACATCTTGATTATCGCTGTTTCGTGTCGAGCCGATACACCCAAACAGTGGCAAACTAGTTAGCATATTTTAAAAGTGCCACGCACTTTGGATGTTTGGCGATATGTTGCCACAAAGCGGTATTAAATGCTGTGACTTCAATTGATCGATTAATACAAGACCGTTAAACAGAGCGTGACCATGCGGTGACTATTTAAGTCTCATGACTACAGAGGAAATGTTGGCGGAAATTCCCCACTGCCAAGTCTCGGCACGAACTGAGATGTTTCCGATTTCCTGCCAAATTTACCGTGAAATATTATTATCCTAACTGAATTTTCAATCCAACAATGAGTATGGTTTACTATTTGGGGGAGGTAAGATGCGTAAGTTATTGAAGATAAGATAAAAATTCCGGTTATATCATCTGAAACTATAACAGTACACTAAATCCTGATAATAAATCAGTGGCATCGTCAAGTCATCTTTCATGTCTAGCGATTCTCACGTTTGATCTTGTTTCTTTTTTTATACCTTTTCTTACTAATCTATTTGTCTTGTTTAGTGACTCGGAAATGGAAAATGTAATGACGTCATACAAGTAATCTACTTAGTAATTTTAATGAGATGTGACCATTTACTTATATCTGCGGAGAAAAATTACACGTTGGCACTGTACATTTTATCATTTCATCTGTCTTTATTTAGTTTTCAATCTTTTTCTTCCCTCTTCAGTGTAGTTTACTAAATATGAATTTATATACAATGGTCACATTAGATTTCAGCAATACTCTTATACGCAATATATATATATATATATATATATATAAAATCTGGAATGTACCTTAGGCATTTCTAGAGGATGTTTACTTTTTGACTGGACCATGCACATGTCTCGTTATTCACCAGAACGGACTTTGGAAACAACACAACGACTAATACATTGGAGGTACAAAGAATCCCTTAGGACGTCAAAAAATATCTGGTCCATTTGGAAAAAAATGTCTTTCTTTAACATAGAAAGTGAAAAAGAGCAGGAGTGTATTTTCTTCCTTTCTATTATTGTCATATAGAAAGCATTATACGGTAGGCTGTTTTCTATACTTCCTATACCTCAGGAAGTATAGAAAAGATGTGTACTGATGGAAAAGTTACTTTTTGGAGTAGTACATGCAATTGTGTTTTTCTTCATTTTTCAACAATTTAAAATTTAAATAAAATGCTACTAAAAGAGTTACGAGAAAAATACAGTAAAACTATCGACGTTTCGACAATAGAATAAATTTTCATTTTCTATTTTAAANGGATTGTTAAGACACAAAGGTAAGTTTCTGTGATATAGAACTTAAGAATTTAAGAGAAAAAAAAAGAATTTTTAATACAACCTGATTACGTTAAATTATTATTATTGGAAATAAGAAAATTTACTTCTGTGATAGATTAGCATCTCCAATGATTAATTCTCTTTGTATGTATAATTATTAAGATGTTGATATTTTGATGTTAATCCTTTCCCATTTAAAAAAAACCATTCACGAACATCAAACGTGCCAATAAAACATCTGATTAAAGAAGCCCATGTTTTTACTATAAAAATGACTCAAGAATAACAGTGCCGAAGTGTGCATGC